GTAGTAATTTTAACATTAAAATTTGTTTGTTGGATTCATCCAGAAAATTGTTAGTAGTCATTACTTGGTCTTTCATCGGGACTTAAAGGACTTTAAGTCCAGTAAAGTATAAACTAAAATACAAATCAACATCTTACCACTGCCATCTTAGTGTTTAGGTCTAAATCAACTTAACAGGAATACAGCAGAAGAGACAGCCTAAGAAATTTTAGAAATATTGCAAAATAAGGAATGATCAAAGATCATTCTCACTGTCTGCTCTCACTTCGCAAAATTTAATTGATGACCTAGCAATATAGGGGATTGCCCAAAGTATAGACCAAATGTTACCAGCGCTATAGCTCCAAATTTAGATTCCCTTGAAAAAAACGATGATTTTGTATTAAACTTTAATTCAACTTTTATTTATCCTTATTGACATTACTACTATACACTTCCATTTTAAATAAAGCAATTACCCGTTGTTGATTTGTTAGTGTTGACAAAAAGTAGCACTGATTTTTCCTTTGTATTACTTAGTTGAAAATATATTTTTAATTAAATGTTATACAAGTGACATTACGTGTCTTTCAATTTTAGGTATTCCACAACCTTCCCAAATATAAACGCATTTTGAAAAGCAATCAGTATAAAAAAATGTTAAATTTTACCTTTAAAAGAAAGAATAATTATGAATCACCCAATAGAGATAAAGAATCAGTAATTCATAAGGTTACTCACAATGTAAAAGCAAAAGTAGACACAATGTCCTCATGTTGATGTTAAAGCTGCCTTCTAAGCTTGTTTTCACAGAAATGTACAGCGGTGGACTGCAGTTCTTTAAGCTTCCTGTTGTGCCGATGTGGTTAACACTGACTTTTGGACCGCTTTAAATTCACAGTCATCGGGTTCTACCACATCTAAAACAATCATTTATCCCTCTTACACAATCTTTTGTCTCTCTGAATACACTCACATGGTGCTTTTATTATAATTTCTCAAGCTGCCCTGTGAGCAAATACATTTGAGACAAAGATATGTGTGTGTAAGAGTAGAATCTACTTAAAATATATCTATATGAGAGTGGGGGTATGATTTTTGGCTTGCACGGCACGGAGCCCATTCTGGTTTCCAGATGGTCTTTAACTAGGGCAGAGTAAATGTGGCTTTATGATAAAGCAGTCCTAGAGGAGGATGTCTACAGAAAAGAAGAATTTAAAATTTTTATTAAATTTTTAATTGAGTTCTCCTATGAAGCCAACCAACGCTTTTCACCCAAGTATAACTCTTCTCAACTATATGATAAAAATGGTGATGGACAGATAACAGGTAGTACTGACTAATGTGGATGAGCATTATTAATTTTGAAAGACAGAGTATTTAATTACAGATCAAAATGTGTGTCTTATAGGGAAAAACAGATGTTCAGTTACAGTAAGCTGAGATTGTACACTTTTTCAGTTCTACAATTTTAGATACTGGTACAATAAATGATTTTGGTGCATGCAAGGAGTATAAGCTAAGAACAAGGCTGTGATTATTTATGTACATAGATCGAAACTAACATGCAAAAGAAATGTTAATGTAAAAAAAACACTTTGCATAAACATATTCCTTAGAGAATACGAGGTTATCATCAGTCATATGAATGCATAGATCTGTGATCATCAACTGGCATGACTACCTCTATATAAGTAGGCATTTAGCCCTCTACTAGTCTAGGAATGTGTTAACAAAATGTTAAGACAAGAACATAACAGTTCCTTCCCAACAACCCTTGAAAATTAACAGGATTATTCAAGAATTTCTGATATATTCTAGGACAAAGGCTAACACTGCGGATTCTAGTCTATCACTTTTTTTACATAAAAAGAGAGTTCAAAAGAGATTCAATCCTTGAAACTTAGGGCATAGCCTATTATTGTTTTTTTTTTTTTTATTGTTTCAATTTTAAATCAGTATATTTTTTTATCATACAATGTGTTTTTCTGGATTTTTGTTTTCTCTCACATCTGAAGTTTACAACCTGTGATGCATCTCTCCCATCTAAACAGGAGTTCTTTCACAATCAGTGTCTGTACATATTTGTTTAAATATATTTATGAATGTTTAAGTCTCCTCTAAGGAGGCTTGTTCTTTGTCCTTTTAATGTTATTCTTTTGAGCTGATGTCTTTGGAAAAAAATCACTGTAGCATAATGACAAAGACTCTGGCTTCTAGATTGATAGCCGAATGGGTTACATTATACAATTGAAATAGACAGAGCTGCAGATCTATTGTAGAATGAGAAGAGAAAATGATAATGGTGGCACAATATACATGGAGAGTTGAGATAACCGATGACACATAGTTTTTTTAAATTGGAACATCACACACAAAAAATGCACCATTACCTTTCTTCCTTCTCGCTCCTTTAAGTGAATGAACTGCAGAAATGGGACCTTGATGCAAGTGTGTCTGAATAAATGCATCCCAACCTGAGTGAGAAGCAGCAATACCATGAGAGAGTGAAGAACAGCAATGACCACAAGCAAATTCCCGCAGAGAGAATCATAGCTCTTGAAGGCTTTGTATTTTGCTCTGTTGCAACAACAAACTTCAATGTATTGGTATCTTATAAACCGATACAAAGTAATGCTAAATTATGAGATGGTAGGAAAATTGTACATTATTTTCAATTGTTTTAGAAATAAAACATTGAAACGTGTGGTATGAAGATAGCGCCCTGTTTTTCATCTTTCTCTTACACAGCTTGGGCCAAACTATAAAGAGGTATTCTTGTTCTTCACAAGGGAAGTAAGTTAGTCCTCCTTTTTTTTTTTTTTTTTTTTTTTTTTTTTAACAGTGTCCCATCTGGCAATGTGGCAATAAGAATAATTTTCTTGATGCCAAAAAGAGCCCAACAGATTTTGCTTTCACAAGTGGAGCAGTACGGCTATCGCCATAGTGTTCAGCTTGATTTATATATATAAATTGCTTTATTATAATTCATGCAGGGAGTTTTACAGATTATATGGACACTGCAATGTAAAGAGAAGCTGAAAGAAAGAGGAGATAAAAGGGAGACAATGATAAAACGTCCTCTGTCTGCTATATCACCTGCAAACCGAGATGTAAAAAAAAGAACAGTACAACCAAAGGATATAGTATAAGAGATACAATAAAGTAATACCTTGATACTATCGCTAAAGTATAAGTCAGGGGTCACCAACGTGGTGCAAGCGTGCACCGAGGGGCCCTCAAGGACCACATGGGGTGCCCTCAGCATTTTCTTAAAACAGAACAACTCACCAGTGGACTAAGTTTGAAATTTTATTTTATGCTGTTGCTCTTATTTTTTATCATTTATAGAGCATTTCATCATATCAATAATTTAGGACATTAAAGCATTCATAGAGATTTCAATTATCTAAAAGAAAATTAGAAATGAAAATAATCAATAGAAATATGTTTATTATCTATAAAGTTTAGGTGAATGCTGACTCTTCCAGTTTATAGTTAAGTATTGGTAGCCCGTCCTATAACTAAGTAGCCCTCAGTCTTAAAAAGGTTGGTGACCCCTGGTATAAGTAGTTTTATTAAATCTGACATGTATACTGTGGTAGCTGATGATAATAATATGGGCTTTCTGTATGGAAGTGAATCTCTAAGTACCTGGAGCCAAGCACCTGTAGTTGTTTGTAAGAGTGCACTTGTGCATGTAAAGTTTATCCAAAAGAAAAATGCTCAATAGTGGTTATAAAGAGCCGAAGAAGAGACCCCCAGGCACCAAGCAACACCGAGCCAAAGCGCCAGCCAGCAGAGGGGGGCAGAACAGGGGGAATGGGCTCCACACTTAGCGGAGACTTGAAGTTCTTGGGACCTGAACCTGACAAGTAAAAAAAATTCTAATAATAACCAATTGGTTGAATTGGCTGAAAAGAAAAGCGTGCCACTTTAGTCTGATATTAATCTCCCAAAAAATTCAAACACATGTGCCTTTTCTTTCACTTCACAACTTCACAACTTTTGTCTTTTTCATTAATCCAAATAAAACAAACCAAATTAACAATTGGAGAATGACAAAAGGTAAAACATTCTAAATAGTGTAAAAACCTTTTCAGTACTAATATTTCACTTACTGTTGCTAAACCTTGTTACACCGGTTAATATTTCAAAGGATGTGCTTAGCTTGAACTAACCCAATTCAGATTTTGTAAGTGTATCCCACAGCCACTAGATGTCACTATCCTACTAACCAAATGCATTACACCTGTTGATCAGAGCAAAGTATTGTTGGAATGTCTTAATTCACCTTTGACAAAAAAAACAAAACAACAAAAAAAAAACTGAATGTTAAAATAGTTAGATGAGGGATAATTGATCTTCACAAGTGGGCAATAAACGTCCTTCAGTGTTTACTTTCTAAATGTTCTTGGACCATTTAGAAAGGAGTCTGACACAACATGGCAGAAAGTTCCTCTGCCTGCTTAAAAAAAAACTGCTTTGGAAAAGGGCAGATTCCAATAAGTGAACGTGAAGTTTACAAGGAAGAGAAATAAAACATGTAAATGAAGAAGTTTTTGAAAACCTCATAGACTTTCAGGATTCTCAGTCTTCCTTTAACCACTTTCTGTTTTCTGTCTACGTCTCTCTTCCACTTCTGGGCTGTGTCCTGAATGTTGTCCAACAGGCTGTACCACATCCACTGCACTTGGACTTTTAGAGGTTGAGCTGTTTGGACCTGCTTAAAAGCACACATGCTTTATTTTTCTTAGTGTTTCACTCCTAGTCTTATGTTAATAGAAACTAATCAGCCGGGTGACTTTAGGACCCAGTAAGAGACAACCAGGGGGCGCGTCAGTCTGCTTAATCTGACCACAGAACGTGTAAGCTGACTTTTGCTTCCTCTGTGACAGTTCATATGTTCCGTCACAGCAGTTCCTTGATTAACAAGTCGCAATAGAGAAGTGCACTGAGGTGCCACTGCAGGATACAGCAGACAGCCTCATGATCTGTGGACAGGGACCTTTGTGATCTGACATGCCTGAGAGGGAATCCTTATCCCTCACAGTGTACAGCCAATCATGGAGCAGCAGGCCCTGATTCTGAGGAGCATCCTGGCCCAGCTGGAGAGTCAGGAGAATGCTGAAGAGGGGGCACCAAATGGCATCGCTGGGGAGTTTGCGGTGAGTCAGCTGTAAAAGGTCATGTGTTAATGTTCTGTTTTTTAAACATAATTCCTCAATGAACTTCTCAGTTTAATCTTTGACCTTTCAGATGGAACCATGTAGCTTTTACTGAATGAACAGACAAGATCTTAAACTAAAGAAAAGCTTACTGTGTTTCTAGTTTCTAATTAGTGATATTCAGCAAAAAATGTAGCAACTGTTTTATTTGCGCTTTAATGCTTCCTCTTTCTCCACCAACGAAACATGAGTGAATTGGATTGGGTTTGACACTGTTAATAAATACCGTAACCCCTCACACCTATGGTTTCACACACAGATCTAATTTTTAAAGGTGTTGGACCTCGTGTTTGACATCATGTGTGGCAAGCTGCAGTGCTGACTGATACAGCCCCAGGACAGCACTGTTTGTTTCACATGCTGCCCCCTCTGCTGTCACAATAATCCTCTCCAACAGGACGCCTTGTTGCATCACTTCCCTAAAGGACAAAAAAGACTCTGTGTTGTTTGAGACATGCACTGCCTGCAAGTCTTTCAACAGACTCTGGAACTGAGTGCACAGGCCTCTGAACAAAAGGAGCAGTGTCTCAGAGAGTCCTGTCAGCATGGATGCGCCTTAATCTAAAGTGTCATTCGATTTAAAATCCTTTGCTGGCATTAAGGCACACATTTCATCTCAGTTACATCATATAAAAGCTTATTTGATTTCTCCACCCGTATACTTTGGGCTTCATTCGTTTTGTTCTATTTTATTTTCTGGTCAGCTTCAAATATTGGTTTATTTGTAAATGTGTTGTCAACCTGTTTATATTAAGGATGGGGAATGGCAATAACAGTGTAAAAATGAATTTTATTCAAGTTATAGAGTTGGAATTATAGCAGTAAAGGCTTTCTGCCTGGGTCTTAATAGGTGTAGATATTAAGAAGTAAGGAATTAGCCAGTAAGCATACATTAGCCTTGCCAGTACCATGCTGCGCATTTCTTCACCTTTGGGAAGGCCTTTATCCTTCTTAACATGAATTGAACAAGAGGTTGGAAATAGACATTAACGATTTAAATTTATATTGAACATCTATGATCCAAATATTGTTCTTTTAAACTTCAAATGTTCTTTTTGGGTTAAGATCTAGGGACAATGGAAGCCATTTTAGTAGGCTGAACTCACCATTATGTTTACAGAACCAGTTTAATGAATAATTTATCTGGAAGTATCCATCAAATTATGCTTACATTAAGAGGTGAACATGTTCAGCAACAATATTAAGGAAGATCGTGGCAGTTGAGTGATGCTCTTGCGAAACTAAATAGCCCAAGTACTGTCACAAAACCATCCCCCACGCCACTAAATCAATGCTATGGTCTGAATTATTTTATCAGGGCAGAATAACCCCACTATTTTAATGGTTTATGCTAAATTCTGACACTCCGATCTTACTGTTTCTTCTTAAAATCTATCAGCAGACCTGACACCATTTTTCCAATCTGTCACGGTCTAGTTTGGGTGAGTCTCTGCAAATTATAGCTTCAGTTTCCTGTTTCTAGCTGACAAGATTGTTACTAAAAGTGGCCTTCCATGCCTGTATCCTATGTGTCTCGAAGCTCAACATACTCAGCATTCAAAAATTCCTTTTCTGTGTATCATAGTTCTAACAAATAGTCATTTAGGCTATTTTTACCATGAGGTGATCTTGAACAAATGCCCGCTCTCCTCTGACGAGAACAAGACATTTTGATTCAGATAACTGATGTTCACTTAAAATTATTAGTTTTTTAGATTATTCTGTGCAATCCTGAGAGATTGTTGCACGATACATTTTAGTAGATGTAAGGTTCTTAAAATAGTCAGAACAACCTGTCTGCCACCTGCAAAGACGTCACCTTCAAAGTCACATAAAATGTCCATTCTTGCTTATTCTGACGCGAAGTTCAGATTTGAGCTAGCGGTCTTGACCATGTTTAGACATCTGAAAGCATTTAGTTGCATGTTAGGCAAAGTGGCAAAGACCTAGAACAGAAACAGGAAAGAATAATTTACTGTTTGTTTGCTAGCCTATTAAATCATCTGAATATACATGTCAGTTAAACATGAAACAGATGGGATTCAATACAGGAAAGGTATTTTGAATAGTATCTTCAGTGTTATCGTGGTGCATTTGCATTTTTTCTCTCTCAGCCAGCTTTGTTTCTCTCACTCCCTTTATGTTTGCGCACTTACCAGTCCACTCGCTCCTCTTTAAATACTGTTTCTGTTATTAGACAAACAGCTTTTAGATTTCTGGCCCATCTACAGTGGTGATTTTTGAAACCATTTTCTTAAAGCTTCTATTCCAGTGAGTTAAAGAGTTACGTTTAACATAAAATATAACTACACCCTAAATAAATACAAGCCAGCATGTTGGTGTGACTTCCCTTATAAATATTAGTCTAAAAACAATGACACCCACCTTTGACCTAGAAGAAACATTTTAGTACAAGTGCTTTACTCATAATTAATTATTTTAAGGTTAGGTATGGATTCTTAAGTGAAGAAATGAAGCATATTTTGTAAAAAATCAAGTCCAGTCACACTCTGTAGAGCATTCACGATAGACACCTTTAGGATACATATTGGTTGTCTATCTATCGTAGAATCTAATACCATGCTCTACATAAGGTCTATTCTCCCTGACAGTCAAGTGATGTTGACCTTAATTAATCCAAAAATAGCTGGAAATATCTTGCCTTGGCAGCTACATCAAGGATTTAGCATATCGAGGTGAGTGAAACAGACACAGAGAGCATCTAGATAGTGAAGCATGAGATTGACTAATGTTTTAATCTGGCATTTAAAATTAAGCTAGACCAGTTTGAGTTTTGCAATATTGGTAAATATGTGTATTTTGACATTTGACATGGACAAAGAAATTTTGTGTGTCCTATTTTTCTTATATTGCTCTGGGAATTAATGTCCCAGATCTAGCTGATAGCCCAACAGCTTTTCTTTTACAAGCAGACCATTATGACTATTGCCATGCAGTTGTGCTTGATACTTGTATATTAAACTTTATTGAAAATTATTTAGGGACTAAATACAACTGATGTGGACACAAAGGGAGGTGAGAAAGAAAGAGGGGATATGAACTAAGGGGAGATAGAGGGAGATAAAAAAACGAATGCATGAAAGAGAGAGAATAGAACAAAACAACAAAAAGAGACAATACAAAAGATATAAAGTAACTCCTATAAGTCTCATTTAATACCTGAGATGAGAGAACACAGAACAGAGTGCATTATAGCATAACAGAGACTGCACAACAGACAACATTAAAACATTTAAAACAGGTTCAAGAGCAGCGGGGATCCTTCAGATATCCAAGTGTGTCAAAGTCAAAACCTATGGTAGTTACACCATATTGTTCAGGGTGGTATATACAGTAGTAGCCATTCAAAATTCCACTTTCCTAAGCTGGTCCTGGGCCAGTCCCCTAAGATTTCTTTTTTAAACATCAATCTTTGTACTAAAATATCTTTTCTGTCATGATTTGTTGACATTAAGATCTAAAGAGAAGCATCATCTCCTGGTCAGACTGTAATTCAGTGAAAGGGTGGAGTCAGTAAAAAAATATGTTGGGTTCATGGAGGGGATATTGCTGGGAAGTGCAGGGGAGTGGGCTGCCATTCGACTGGCGTTTGACTGGGAAGGGCCATTTTGAATGCCTGCTACTGCATCTGTAGCTGCAGCTTAGTATCTGTGAACTCCTGGAACCAAACTCCTGTTATGCATGAATGAGCTGCTATTAAGTATGCTTAATAGCAGGTGTGGACAGCCCCAGACTTTAAGGTCTGCAGGCACACCACCGCCCAGCGCGGACCCTACAGGGCCAGGAAGCCCAAGCCCAGCAGCCACCAGGAATAAGAAAGCGGCCACTGAAGTACCCCAACCCACACCTATTGAACTGCCAGCGTGCCAGCAGACACAGGAACCTGTTACTGGCAAGGAGCATAAAATGGGGAGTAGGCAGGCCCTGCTCATACTTGGGTTTTAGGATGTTCAGTAGGGGGGAAATCACCCAACCTGACATTCACACAATTCCATCTTTGCACCTATACTGACATATAGACACAAGAGCCCAGGTGCCAGACACCCCCAGTAGAGTCTGACACGGGAGTGGATTTTCACTCCTGTCCCGTCCCACTCCCACAGAAAAAAATTGTGTCTCGTCCCGATCCCGGGCCAGAGTAGAAATCTAAATCCTGTCCCGTCCCACTCCTGGTGAAATTACTCCCACTCCCATCCCGCTCCCATTCAGAATGACTCCCGCTCCTGCTCCACTCCCATTCTTGTTTTTGAGCGCAGGTGAAAAACTCAGAGTAGAAGCACTGTTGGTTTTTGGGTCGTGTAGTTTTTTTACTCGCATTATAGTGTAGGCTTCAAGGAAAAAAACTACAAAATGGCGGCGCCAGTACTGGATTTTTTTTCTTTCTATTTTATTTTATTTTTTGGCATCAATCCTAGTTTTTTTTAGTTACTATTGGTTTGCTCCTGCTCCCGTCTGCTCCCGTTAATGTTTAATCCTGTACCGTCCCAATCACGTGATCGTTACTAATACTGACTCCCATCCCACGGGAATCCCACGGGAATCCCGTGACCCGTGGGATTCCCGAAAAAATGTCAGTCTCTAACCCCCAGCATCCAACCAAACCAACTGCAGGTATAGGCCGCATGCAGGGTCAGGGCAACCAGCAAGGCAGACCTGCCTCCCGCAAAGAGGGCCAAAAACCCCAGCAAAGCCACGACCAAACCCAAAGGCCCAACCCCATACCCAGGTGGTGCAGAGAGAACAGAGGTGTGCAAGTCCTGTCTTCAGAAAAAAAAAAAAACTGAGCAAAAGTCCTGTTGCCTTCCAATTTTAGCTTGTTTTGTGGTTGCCATGACCCTGATGACTAAATATTTACAAAGGCATAATCCTCTAACACTTTAACAACCAGGTTAAAAAAAAACAACAACACTAATGTTCTGATAACACATCACATGTAACATGACAGCTTGTTATTTATATTTCATCATTCTAGATGATGTGACAATAAATACAGCTACAATCATAAGTATAGTCATGTCCTACAAATGATGACAATAGTTTTTAAGGAATGACAGTTTGCTGATGTGGAAGACTAAAAATAGTTTTAAAAAATGAAATTAGGTAGAAAATTCCATCATTATTTAAAAGTTATACAATGATGTCTAAACAGAATATATAAGTATGTTCATATTCATAATGAAATGTCAGAAATACCAGCAAGAAAGATCATTTATGAGGAGAGGATGTTAGGTGATGATTGAGTGATTAAAGACGTCTGATTATTTAAGACATCTCTGCACTGCTGTCCTGCAACAGCCAGGCCAATCTAAGCACATGACGGAGGAGTCAATCTAAAAGATTCAAAGCAGATTGTGTAAATTATTTGTTAGAACTGAGGTTTTCTAGGGTTTCCCTCCCCAAGCAATTTAGAGTGCTATCTTTTAAAGCGCCACAGCAAGAAATGGCAGTTTGAAACATATTTCAAAATGGTTGTTGCTTAGCCACATGCAAAGGTATGTCACACCAGTTCCTGAACTACAAAAAAAACTTAGTGGCTTCTAAAATAAGTTATCTTGTTAAACTATTTATTCCCATGTCAGTGTTTCCTTCATTAAAAAAGAAAAAAAAAAACTTTGGTGCATTTTGATTACAGCCCCCAGGCATGCATCACTTTGGAGCCAGTTTGACACTTGACGTCTGACTCGACTTAAGAGGAAAGGAGATCGGGCCTTATCTGTTGTTGCTCCAATTCTGTGGAACCATTTACCTCTTCAAATTAAATCTGCCCACAGCCTGGATCATTTTAAATCGCTTCTTAAAACTTATTTTTATTCTTCGGCTTTTAATTGAAGCAGTGTTTCACATTCTGTTTTTTTAATTGGTGTTGTTGTCTTTCCTGTAAAGCACTTTGGTGCAGTTTTATACCTTAAGTGCTATATAAATAAATTTGACATTGACATTGACTTAAAATGGAAGAAAATGTATGGATAGGATAAACCTTAAACCTCTCGGTTGAATTTGAAATATTTTATTCAGAATAGATTTAAAATGTTAAGACTTATAGAGACCTATTTGACCAGAAAAAACTTGAAAACAAAGAAACTTGACCCTGAACCTGTTTTTTTTTTTTTTTCAACATCTAAAAGATTTAGTAAATAGAAATATGCAACTATATTACATAGATACATAAAATAACATTGTTTGGATTTAAAGTATGTTTCCTGCTAAAATTGTATTTTTTCATTATCTGTTTTCATCTAAACCAACATACTGTAGGTAAAAATAGGTACTGTAAGACAAAGAAGTAAAAGCAGAGCAAATAACTGTTGGTAGTATTTCTTTGATTTATGATGTTTTTTTGTTTGTTTTTTTGTCAAAATCTATAAATAATGAAAAGTCTAGCTACATTTATATTGCCACAAGAAATGTAGATATTGAAGTTTAGAAGCATGTGGTAAAAAAAGAAAAATTTTGTTTTCCAGAGGCTGAAAAACCAGTCAATCAAGTACCGCACCGACAAGACCTACAGCACCAAGACAGCAGAGAAACAAGAAAACATCAAGAAGAACCGATACAAGGACATCGTTCCCTGTAAGTCTGGCTCAATGCAAGTGAAAACTGTAGTTGGGTATATGTAGGCTTTAAAAACACGACTAAAGCACTCCAAAAACATCAGTATAACGTTCATACCAAAATGCAAAACTGCATAGTTAAGGTGGTCAAACAAATACTAAGATAAAATGTATTACTACAATATAAAAGATTTGCCTAACTTATAGATTATTTACTAATATGTTAACTAACCAAAATATATTGTAATGAGGTTCCTAAAAATGAGCTATACCTCAAATATTAAATGTGAGGGTTAGGTGATGATATAAATCTCCATTCTTGTTTCACACTGGAGAGAGGGAGAGAGGAAAACTGGAAGTTCAGACAAATTCAGTGCAGACAAATGAGGAAGAAGAGAAAGAGGAACTAACGGGTGCAAGTAGAACACAACATAAAGCATTTTGATGAAAACAATATGTTCTCATCTTGACTTTCATTATTTTATCCTAATATTCTTACAATATCTGAGTTTTTGCAAGGCCCCAATAAATTGTAGATATTTCCTCTGACTTGGAGTTAGTCTTATATGTCAAATACAGTGAAAATATAAACTGCTGTCCTCTTCCGCATCTGCAAAATTCCTTAAACATTGTTTACAGCTACACGTTTCCACTTTTAAGTCCAGCCTCTGTCAGAGTATCATTGCTAATAGTTGCTGGGACTTAAGTTAACCCAACCTCACTCATAAAGTGAATAAAAGTTCCGGCATATAAATTCCTGGGGGGAAAAACTACTGAGTGTTATATAAACTAGGTTAATAAAAACAGCTTAAAAAAATAAAGGGAACATTGTGAATAACACAAAATAAGTTCAACCAAATCAAACTTCTGTGAAAGCAAACTGTCCACTTAGGAAGCAACACTGATTTAAAATATTTTCCATATGCTTTTGGCAAATTGAATAGACAACAGTTGGAAATGTTTGGCAATTAGCAAGAAACACTCATTAAAGGACTGATTCTGCAGGCAGGGACCACAGACTACTTCTTAGTACCTATGCTTTAGTTTCTTGCTGATGTTTTGGATGTTGGTGTTGAATGGATATTGAATGTTGGTGGTGCGTTCAGACTCGTGGTAGCATGAGACCAACTGTGGAACCCACTAAATGGCTCAAGTAGTGCAGCTCATCCAGGATGGCACATCAATGCGATCTGTGGCAAGAAGGTTTGCTGCATTTCTCGGTATCTCCCGTTGCCGAGTTCCTTTGGGTTACTTTGTTCAGTACAAAGTATTTAAAGAGAATATTTCATTAATTTAGATCTATAAATTGTTATTTATGTGTTCCCTTTATTTTTTTGAGCAGTGTAATAAACAAGTTTTCAAATAAAGGTTTAATTTAAAAGGATAAATAAATCAAATGGGCCACCATGCAGTTGAAAATCAAAGTCAGGTTTATAAAACATTTTGTTAATAACAAAATCCAAGAACTGGTGCATGTAATGTATATATTTGAAATATGTTTTTGCCTTAATAGTTTAATTAATTACTGATTATGAAATGAATTAGGCCTTTTATTTTAAAAAAAGTTTATTTTCTTTTTATTTTAGAATTACTTTAATGGTCTGAAGCATTTCCATATGAAAAAAATGAAGTATTTTTCCAAGCTTTGTCAGTTAGATTGCACTGGTTGGTTTGAGCATCCACTGATAAACACACTTCACCACTTAAACTAAACACTTATGCTCTCTGTAGGCCAATTCAAACGTAATACATTTTAAATTAAACAATAAAAAGAGGAAAACTGTCACTGTTTATCTATAAAATCACTTCCTCTCTTGATGTCTAACAATGATTAGCTGTTTTTCTCTTTCTATCAAACACCAGACATCTGTTCACATTCAGTATCTCAATTCCTTTCTTAGTATGTATTACCTTGAATTACCATTAATCATCAAGATCTACTTTCATTTAATTCAATCAACATTAAACCATTAAAATGTGTTGTTTTTCAGGTGCATGCTGTCCAAATTTTGCCTAAGCAAAGACGTTAAAATTCAGGCTTGGTTAGCTGATGTGTTCGACCCCAGCTACTTTCAAACCACATCTAGACCTCAGGAGGTGTCTGCATGTAGACATCTTTTCATTCTCTACTTCATCATTGTAGCTGTACACTGTTAAAAAGGAAGGTGTCTTTTCAACTAAACCTGGCTGAGGGTTTAGCAGAAACTTAAGTCTGGCAGGGTTGCAAACACGCAAAAAAAATGTTGGACTACTTTCATGGATGCTACAAGTTAAATTACATTTAGTTGTGTATTTTAATATCTTTTCACCTCTCTACTGGGACTAATTTATTTCCTATTGTGTTCTTTGACAGGATCATGAATAATGGATGCAATTTATGGTATTTAACATTATTGGAAGCTAACCACATATCCTTCTTTTTCAGTTGACCATACCAGAGTAAAGCTTACTCTCACCACATCCAAAAAAGACAGCGACTACATCAATGCCAGTTTTATCAAGGTAAATATAACCCCTTTTTTTTTTATTCCAATATAATAATCAGCATAATTATATCTAGTAAAACTAAAAACATCTTTTCACTCCTGTGTTTTGCTCACAGGGAGTTTCAGGGTCCAGGGCCTATATTGCCACTCAGGGCCCCCTTCCACACACAGTGGTGGACTTTTTAAGGATGATTTGGGAATATAACGTAAAGGTTGGTCAATAGTCACTTGCCAATTGGTCAAAATGTTGTTGTTTTTTACAAATTTGTTAAAGTGCTGTTGTTCCACTTAATTGTTCAGGTTATTGTAATGTCCTGTCGAGAATTTGAAATGGGAAAGGTAAGAGTGATTTCTCAGAGCAAATATGGCAGCATGTCTGCTTTTATTTTGTGGATTAAAATTGCAGAAAATCTTTATTTTTTTCCTTTCTTTCTTGCTTGCTTTCTTTTGTATGTTTTAGAAAAAGTGTGAAGTGTACTGGCCACAGAAAGACGAAGAGGATATGTTTGTCTGCGAGCCTTTTACCGTTCACTGTGTGAGTAATTTTCATCTGAGAGTCACACTGTCTGCACAGACAGTTTCCTACAACCGTTTTAAAACGCATATATTCCAATTTTCCAGTTATTCACATCTGATAAACAAAGCACAACGTGGAACCTGTGACTGAAAAACATAAACTTAAAATAAACATAACAGAAATTACTTTTTTGTTTAACTTTTGAAGTGTGATCTTTTTTTAATGATTTGTGCTCATTAAGATTGTTTTTATTTTCTTCTTTTTTTAAGGATTCTGAGGAAGGTAAAGGAGACTATTTGACAAGGACGTTAAGATTGACTTATCGAAATGTAAGCATCAAGTGAAAGTAACTATTGGCATATTTCGAATTACATTATCAATAAAGAAGCTGTGTTTGTTTTGACTGACACCTAGAATGCTAGAATTATAAATTTGATTGTTTTTTGTTTGTTTTTTTTATGTTAGGTTTGCAAAACAACAAATTTGACATCAGATAAAAAATGTCAGTTTTTGATTAACTCATATGTACCTTCAAAACACAAACATTTTAATACTCCATTCTTCAGTGTAGCCGCACTTTGAAACAGCTGCACTATGTCAACTGGCCTGATCATGGCGTACCAGACACCATCCCACCCATTCTGGATATGCTCCATGAGATGCGCTGTTATCAGCCACACGATGACATCCCCATTTGCATCCACTGCAGGTCAGAAAAATCTATAGAAACAATTTGTCCGCTTAAAAATAAACATTTTTCTTTGTTATTTGTTTGTTATTTAGATGTTTTTTCACTTCAGGCCTTATATTTTTGCATACCATTTGAATGCAATGCAAATACTCAGCTAACAAACACATTCACTTCTATTTGCACTTAAAGTTACTGTTTCCACTTTTTGCACTACTTGTTTGTATGTGTCCTCTTTGTTTTGGAGTCTATCACTGCAAAAACGATCGAGAAATAAGCTAAAATTTCTTTAAGTGTATTTACTCTTAATTTGAGTGGGTAAATGATATGATTTGCCAGTGGAATGAGTATTTTTACTCTTAAAAGCAGTTATTTAAATAAAAAGCATGTGAAATAAGACAATGCAATTGTGTTTTCTTATTTTAAATGTAAATTGTCATGTTCCATTGGCAAAATATCTCTTTTACCTCCTCAATCCAAGAGCAAATGCACTTATTTTAGGGAAAAAATATCTATAAAAAAAAATATATCTATATGGGTGAATAGAGGGCAGAATACGCGGAGGAGGCTCATACACAAATGTTCAGGGGAAGTTTTGATTTATATCATGTGAATTGATTGTTTATATGTTCAGACGGCTTTATACATCTGGATTTTTTGAGGTGTTCTTCATTTCAGGCTTTTGGGCATCAATAATGTTTTACACTGACAAAAATGTTGATTCTAACCTTGAGAAATTGTCATGAAACCCCTCTCCTTCGTAGTGATTGTTAAACTCAATGCTTAATTCAATTTCAACTCTTTTTCAATTCAGTTTATTAAATAGCACCAATTCACAACACATGTCATCTCAAGGCACTTTACAGTTCACCAGATCATACAGTGAATTGATTCAAAGTTTTCTATCTAAGGAAAACCAGTTGATTTCATCGACTCATTGACTCAAATGCAATCCCTCAAAATAAGCATGCTTAATACAAGTCAATTACCATCACTCATGAAAGTAGGGAATTTATTGCATGTTTCATGTCAAGCCAAAGCATTTGATCTTGAAGACCAATTTACAAAGTAGAAAGCATTAAATATTCCCTTCTGGTGAGGTGGCCTGACTCTGCTGTTTTAAAGCATATCCAAACAATGCAACCTCCAACCAAATTATCCTAGTTGGTACATGGTTCTTTACTCTGCTTTATTTGCTCAATGCCCTCTGTTGTGTGTTTTTCAGTTTCATACTTACCCAATGTCTCACTGGAAAACCTTTTTTACCTTGTCCATTATGTTTTTCTTCAATAGCAGAGGTTTCATCCTTGTACATCTAGTGAAGCTTTAGCTTGTAAAGTCTCTTTTACGTTGTACAGACATGCACTATAAACAGTAGCAGCCACCTGCTGAAGGACACATGGGGACATTTTAGGCTTTATGGAGATACATTTTATCATCTTGCTTTCTATTGAACCTTTTGGGATGAACTGATACGGAAAGGTGTCCTTTTGTTTTTAAAGTCAGAATTATATACATGGCTATTTTGGTAACAGAAAAAAAATATATAGAACATTTTTTAATCCTAAGAAAATAAAATTGAATAGTCTCGAAAATCAAAAATTCAAGTTGTTGAAAATATGAAAATGTTTTAAGAAAAACTGACTTCGGACCATAATCTTAACCACCTTTATAGAGGAAGTAGTGAACAAGCTTCACTTTGACTTACAGTTATGGTGGCAGAAATAAACAGAGATCCTCACAATCTGTTCAATCACTTTTCTAACTATACATATATTTTTAAAATCCTCCTTGAGTGCTTTGATCATTTCTTTTTCTTAAACTATTCTTTTTGTAAATGCATCAGAAGTATGTTTTAAGTTGTTGCTTATGCAAGAAAATGCATCACATTCAAAAGCTCAAGTTTTTTGGCACCTTTGTGGGTGAAAAATTCACGGTATGCAGAAAGAGGTTTGACTCACTTTGTGGTGGTGCGCTAATTGTGGGCACAAGACCTGGTGTAGCAGGCCATAGTGGTATTGCCCCTCCTCTTTTTGTTTTCAACAGGAAATGTATGTAGGAGGGAGACCAATGGCCCTTTGCGCTTTAAAGAGCACAGATCGGTTTTTCCTCTGTGTTTTTCCACTACTTGCACTATTGTTTTTATAACAATCATCTTTATCAGTCATTATGTAAAGTTACAAATTATGACAAATGGGTGGGGATCTGTTTAGGAGCCTGTGTGTACAATGCACTAATGCGTAATGTAATGCACATCATGAATTACACTCCAAGGACATTATAGGGGCAGATTCAATGGTAAAATATGGTGATGTACCGTACGATGTACAGAATCACTAAATGAAGGTGTGACCTCTGCAGTTATTTTTGTAGAAAGACTGAAATCATGTCTTTTTGTCTTTGTTGGAATTCTTATTTTTGAAATTAAGCAATAAAAGCTAGAATATCCCAGAGAATCCTTTCATAGATTCCTTTTTTTTACTGTTAAGTTGCCTCATCATATGTTTTGTTGTTTTTCTTTTTTTTTTTTTTTGCATCTACTCTGTTGCAGGAAATGTGATTTAAAAAATGATGCTCCTTAATATGGTATTTCTCCCACAGGTAAGCTCAACAGGTTGTTTTTGGAGGCTTTTAGTCACAAGGCTAAATTTCACTTTACACTCAGCTGTTTCCTAAAAACTAGGGCTATGATACATGTAGTATGTTGAAATTGCATTTCAAGAAAGCAAAACAGCAACAGTTGAAGAACAAGTAACTAGCACCTTTCTTAAAATGTAGTTGAGTAGAAAGAAAAATATTTGACTTTGAAATGTACTGGAGCAAAACTTATAGGTACCCCCCAAAAAATGACTCAAGTAAAGATACTTAAAGAAAGTACTTAAATACAGTAAAGAAGTAAATGTACTGTCTTACTTTCATGACATATATTTGTGACTTTACCTCATACTTCTGATGGTAGGATTTCATTCTTTTCTGTAAATGCTTCCATTTTCATTTAAGCACTCTGAATGTTTTTGTCTTGTTCTGTATTATTCCATCATCAAATATATTGGGCTGCCATCATTCTTGGTCCCAAGTCCACACCAATTTCTTTCTAGCTCACCTCTCCATTAATAATGACTATCTCTTTTACTGAGGATAAAAAAAAAACAGTCCTGTTCATTTCCAGATTGTCTTGCTTTTCTGTTATTTTTGTAGATCAGGGGTCACCAACATGGTGCCCGCGGGCACCAAGGGGCCCTCAAGGACCACAAGGAGTGCCCTTAGAGTCTTCTGAAAATAGAACAACTCAACAGTGAGCAACATTTGAAATTTCATTGTATCCTGCTGCTCTTCTTTTTTTAATCAATTATAGAACATTTCATCATTAATCATATATGGCATTTAAGCATTTATAGATTTCAAAATGAAAATGTCTAAAAGAAAATTAGAAATTTAAAGATACTATAAAGATATGTATATAATGTATGAGGTTTAGGTGAACATTGACCCTTGCAATTCATAGGTCAGTATTGGTAGCCCTTCCTGTGACTCAGTGCCCCTGAATTAGCCCTCAACTGTGAAAAGATTGGTGACCGCTGTTGTAGATTTTATCACTTTGGAAACTGAGCTTTTGTCAATTTCCTAAGAGTTTTAAATTTTAAACTGTATCTGCTTTTGGCTTTTTCTATTTTATCAATAAGCTAGCATGACCATACAAAGTAGGCCAGGGAGCATTCACATAGCAGGTTTATTTATGTCAGTAATACATTTAAAAAAAGTGAATCTTGCATTTTATATACAATCACTAAAAGCATAACCACAATTTAACTGGTTAATTCTGTCCAGGTTGTTGATTGTTGTCAAAGTGAGGGTGGAGGTTTGACAGGAAACAAATGCAGACACAAACCTTGAGGTGGTTACTTAAAGGTTTAAATTACAAAAGCTTAACAGAAGCAAAGATCCAAAAATATAAATCCACAAGAAATCCAAAAATGCTCAAAACCAAGAATACTCACAGCAAGAAGGGGACAAAGTAATGACGACAAACAGCAAAGAGTGACTGCACAGGAGGAGATTATATGGGAGAGAGAAACAAAGACCGGGCTAATTAGCAGATTGGGAGAAGGTGTGAACACAAGCAGGAAGGGAGCTAGGGAAAAGGAGACTGACACAGGAGGGCAAACAGGAAATATCCAAGAACTCAAATACAATAAAAAATAACAAGAGCACAAGAATCAAAATAACACCAATGAAAACTCAAAATAAAACTTGGACAAAACCAAAACCATGACAATTGGGAATTACAGCTATTGACAACCGAACAGAAATTTAAACTATTTTCGAGAACCAACTTCTAAAAAAATAAGATACACTAACGACTATATCCACGTAGCGCCATATATTTACATGGGATACTTGGTTGGGACTCTTTTTGGAACAAAAAACCCCAGCCGCTATAAACCATGACCTGGATGCTTCCTGATTCAGGGCCAATTAATGGACTTTTCACCCATAATCAGTTAAAACTGGATTATTCCTTTTACTTGTGTAAACTTTTTTGTCACACTTTCTTAATCCATGTAACTTTGCATTCGACAAGCTTTGACGCAGCACATTGTAAAAGAAGACCTTCTTTAGCTAATGGCTTTTGTGGCCCACTGTCCTTGTGCATGGTCTTTTTTATTTGGTAGATGCAGTAAGAAACTGATCTTCACCTAAGGAAGCCAAAAACTTTAGGTATTTATTAGCAGAAGGGCCACATAAAAGAGTTTTCCTCTCCACTGTCGCCACATGCATGCTTGGTGTTAGGGATTTCTGTCCGGTCACTGAGTTGATGCAATAAGCTGGTTTTTCTTAGATAGAAAACTTTCAAACATTCTGACAATATGGTCTGGTTGAATGGTCTTTGTTAAGTGCCTTGAGATGACATGTTGTGAATTGGAGCTATATAAATAAACTGAATTGGAAAATTGAATTGAATTATTCGATGGTTTAAAGTGTTTTTGGGCTAATCTGTTTTCTGCTGTGTAGAGGTGCTGATGTGCATAATGAACAAACATTTCTGCATTGGTTTTATGTGTCCAAAGCGGCTATTGTTCCATACAGTATGTAGTTATTATATAAATACAAATCTGTAAACCAAACGTATTTACTAACAACTTTTCTATTTCAGCTTTAATGAATGAAGGCTTAATTCTATTGGGTGTTCTTGTACACTTGAAGACAACATTTTCATCATAATGATTAATATTTCAAAAATAATGTATCTACAGAGCATCCAAAGTGGTGCAAAAAAAAGTACTAAACATGGTCGTATATATATAATTGTTTTCTAAATTTTGACAGGTCAAAAATATATAAACATTTAGTTACAACGTCAACATCGTCATGAAAGGATTCTGCGCCAATAAGGATAATGGGTTGAAGTCATGTGACACATAGTTTAGGTGTTGCGGGATCCCAGTAGTGCTGTAATAGAGCTGAGAAAGGACTTCTTCTTGGCTTCACATTATTTTCTGATTTAATGAATTGAACGTTCATTTGCTGACTTCCGACTTGAAAGATAAGTTAAGTGTTTGTTAGCATTGGCAGACCTAGTAACGAGTTGACAAATAGTTAAATTGAAGACTGTAATGAGAGTGGGCGAGCACAAGTGCGCCACTCACCGGCTGGAAGGAGTAGCTACTGTGTCTGCTTTAAATCAGATATTTTTTATATCCTTACCTGTAAACACATAGAATGGGGAGAAGGTGTGGTTTTCTTTTCTTTCAGAGTAGTCAAAAAGGAAAACATCCTTGATTCCTGTGATAAATAAATTATTTCTACTTAGAAGTATTGATGCAGCAAAAACAGGTTATGGGAAAATAAGCTGGTCAAAGCATTTTGGTGTTTTGTTGTTACAGTGCTGGCTGTGGAAGAACAGGGGCCCTGTGCGTCATCGATTATACATGGAACCTCCTCAGGAATCAGGTAAGACAATGAATTTGAACAGCATATGCATATTATTGTTCTGACTAGACAGCAATTCAGTTTTTGAAATATTTTGTATATTTTAAATTGGTCTTTTTTTATAGACGATCAGCTCAGACTTTAACATCTATAACTTAGTTCAAGACATGAGGACCCAGAGGCCCTCTGTGGTTCAAACAAAGGTAATTAATCGAAAAGTAGACTTGCTTTTCAGACAAATAGCATCATTTCCATTCAAATTCTTCTGTTGATTTATGTTTGTACCAAAGAAACATGTTCTAACAACAATAGTTTTGTTTTTTATTTTCAGGAACAATATCTGCTCGTCTACAGAACCATCAGGGAACTGTTTAGGAGGTATTTGCAGACGATGGAAACACAAAACTACCATGAAGAGGTAAGCAACAAAAACAATAAATCTGTCTGCAGGAGCCGGATATGTAATGTAAACCACTGATCAAGTTTTCTGTTTATCTCTTCATATTTAATGTGTTGGTCAGTAAGGTCAAAATTAAACCTAAATTCTTTTGTTAGTTCATATTTTAAGTGCTATTCTCTGTTGTTTACTGGATGTGGGTTGCAGCTAATAAAACATATTTTGGTTGATCAGAAAATGGGAATATTACAGAAGATCAATCAACAATTTAGATTTTTGATCCTGAAATATCATGTTATAGCCTAAATAATGCGGCGCAAACTCCACTCCTAGAGGCAGGACATTTGAGTTTGAGACCACTGGCCTACATGATCGAATGCCCCGTTTACACTACCCCTCTGAAACAGATCCGTGCCGAAACGGACCGAGCTTGGATCAATTAACAATGCCAAGCTTGGTTCTTACAGCCATTTACACATCACGCTAGCACGGCTCCTCGCCGCCTATTGGTACTACAGCTCTCAAGGTGGGAATCATGCAAACGAAAATTGCGGTACACATAAAATTCAGGAGCTCATGTTTGTTTATATTAGTGATATTTCGTAGTTTGTGGAATGTCAGGAGAAGAAGGCATCCTTCTCTGTCTCGGCATCATCCCAGGTCACACCATACTCTTTTGATGCCATTTATTGTTAATAAGCTGAAAAGAAGTTTGTCTTGTGAACAGGTTAAGAGATCTTTGAATTGCAAAACACACGTGGGAAAAACCTGCGAAATGAGTCAGCTGACTGTAAATAGGATATGACGTGTTCTGCTCATGTCCTCTTTGTTACCAGAGAACTGAGCCACAACTGAACCGTGTCGAGCCATACTGCTGAACTAGTTCTAGTTTTAGCGTGGTTCGGTTGTGTCTGGCATGGTCCAGTTAAGTTGTGCTCCATTTACACTCAACAGTTATCTCGGTTGGCGTGGTCGGACAGTTCTCAGCACGGTTTCAAAAGGGTAAAAATGAGGTAAAAGAGAAGCTACAGTACTGAATTAAAAGAATTCCAGTAGTCAGTGGCCCTCCATGTGGAGGGTAAACAATTAATGTTCCTTATCAAAGAAGCTGACTCTACAATCTTATAATCACCAATGATAAAAGGTAAATGAAAGGAAAACGTGAGAACAACAAAAGGAATAATTGTCGCCTGAAGACCGTGAAGCAACAAGGACCATTGAAAAAAAATTTTTTTGGGGGGGGCTTGACTTACAAGGATACTTGGCCTACAAATCTCACATTTCCTGTGTACAACAATTCAGGCTTTAACTTGCTGTTGTATCTGTATGGTGATGTGAATTTTAATCACCAACATAAAAATTATTAAAGGTGCATAGTCACCTTATATGGCAGGGTTTTAAATTTGCTCTGTATTAACTCACTCTGGTTGCGTACCATTTAAAAAAAAAAAAGATTACCACATCCTGTTTGCTTATTGTCAGATTTTTATCAATTGTTTTTCTTAGTTCGTTAGTGAATATGGCCCTTCATGTGTATTTCCAACAACAGCAGAGATACAGTACTGCATAGAGATGCAGGGGGTAAACAAGGAAATAGCCTTTTGTGGCTTAGCCACTTAGCATCTCCTAGCGAGGTGTGAAAATAATTTCAAAAAGTGTAAACAAAATAAGAAATAAAACAAAATTTAATTCCAAGATGGATAAGACTCAAATAAAGCTAGGAATATAGTATGAATGTTAAAGCTGCTGAGGTTTTTTTAGTAGTAGCTGCTTAGTTGATAGATTTATGAGTAAACATCCTTTATGGATTAATACTGATACTAGTAACAGCAATGCTATTACTAGTATCAGTATTTTGTTGTGATAAAATGGTTTTTGGTTGTGTAGGCATATTACGTAACCTTTAAAGAAAACGTGCATAATTTTTGACACAAGTATTAGTTTAGTTTGAGATATGATTCCAAAGATCAATATACATCAATCTCTGCGCTCTCATATAGGATATAATCTAGAGGGGTGAATTATTCCTTGTCTTTACAAGTCACTCCATGACTTCTCAGTCTGCAGGTCCAAAGTTGTCTGCTAGCAGATTTTAAAGCGTGGAATGAGGTTGTTAATGTTTATGACATAAGAGTTCTGCCGCATCATGTTGAGTTTAATAACATCTGAGACCAAAAGATCATTTTTTTGCATGCAACTTTTACTGAATGCAAAAAGTTATGGAAAGCACAAACATCAGAATGATGAAAAGAAGCAGCTGTGGGAGGCTTTCTTGCGGTTTCAGTATATCATGAATATAGAATGCAGTCGCATGATGAGTGGAAAATCAGAAGCAGCCCCATGATTAAAACCTGTGAGGGTAGTGTGGTATTGCTCAATCTGATCTCTGCAGTCTGTTTTTTCTTTACTTATGAGGGCATGGTTTAAAAGTGTGGCAGGTGGTTGGATTTAAATGGATTTTTCTCCATTTCATACCGTTATATACATCACATTCTCTTAACATTGCAACAAGGAAGTTTGGCATTTTGTCTGTTTAAAAAGCAGACTTGTTATTTTACATGATATAATCTGTACATGCTGATTGCTATCTGTAACGCTGTGTTCCGGAGTTGGGTGATTATGGATTCATAATTAATTAATTGCTGTAACCTTCTTGATTGTTCCGATCCAGCTCTTCTAAAAAGAAAATATCTTAAACACAACCTATAAAGCAATTTTTTTATTGTTCTGCATTGATGGATTCCAGCTCTACCTGTTAATAATAATGTCCTAAAATCTCCTATTTTTTTATTTTGATCTGCTACATAATCTGTTCATATATTCATACCCTTAGACAATTGTTCACAGTACTATGAATAATGTCATTAAAATAATCTTTTTAGTCAGCACTTCCTGCTGCTTGAAACAAGATATTTATGCACTTTGTATAAAGAAACAGAAGATTTTTATCTTACTGTCTTTCAATTATTAACACTTTTCCTGTTTTAAGATAAAAAATAAATAAATCTTGTATTTAGCAAATTTTTATTTTACTTTTTAAAATAAGACGTTTCCATGCATTTCCTCAGTACTTGGCAGAGCTGACTTTCACATTATAAGACTTCAGTCTAGTGATCCGAGTATGTTTCTATAAACTGCCTCGATAATTAGAAGTAATTTGGTCCATTCATCGAGACAAAACAGCTGTAACTTGTTTTGTTTAAGGATGGTCACCCCTGCAAATACTGACGGATCACATTAACCTTATATGGACCACATGTTGCCTTTTACAGCTTTTCTTTCTAGGTGCTGGGTGCTCATGAAAAAATAAATACTTACATGATCAATCATGTGAACACCCTGATTAAATTAAAGGTCATGGTCACCAGAGGTCACATCCTGTTGTAACTCTTCTTTATTTTGATCTGGTCAGGTGACGATGGCCCAATCAGCCGTCGCTGCGATGACAGAATACGATCTCTCCGATCAGAGTGAGGACCTTGATTTGTCGCCACAACATCATGACCTGTTTGAAGAAGAGAGGGGTTATTTACACGATTACTTCTCGTCTATGGCCGAGGCTTCAGAGGATCAAACTGTCTTTAGATATGAGGACACGCAGTGGGGGCAGCAACAGTATAACCCCTTCTATGACACAGGGGAGGTTCTGAATGCTACCCAGAGATTGCAGGAGGAACCCAATGGTTCTCCCAAACTGCTCCATAACAACCATGCTGCATTCACAGTGAGTGAGAGCGTCCCAAACAGGGAAACCATCGCTGTAGAAGACTCTACGACTATAACGGTCGTGCCTGAGGCTGTGTGTCTGATGGTGGAGGACCCTTACTTTGATACTCCTATGAGTTCCCCTTCATCCGAGGAGGTTCTATTGGACCCAGCAGAAAACTCCAACTGGACTTGCAGCCCTCTCTTCAACACACCCTCTTTGCTTTTGAACAATCAGACCATAGAACCCAGCTCTCTGGTTTCAGGTAAGCGGAAATTTCTGTGCACCAAAGACTATATTTTCTGCATTGCAATGGTATGTATTTCATTTTTGTTTATTTTCTTTATGTTCAAAGTTCCAACTGATGATGAGTCACCTCCGCCTTTACCTGAACGAACCCCTGAGTCCTTCGTCCTGGCTGAGGAAGCAGGTCAGTTTTACTTAGTGTGGAACGCTTTGGAAAAGATGCATTCTGCTTCTATCAGACTTTAAGTCCTATCCAAATATTCAAAGATTCTCCAATCTTTTAGTACATATCAATTATGTAAGTAGGAAAAAAAAAATCTTATGACTCCTACTGGTTTTTGTTTGCCAGAGCTCTCGGATCCATGTGAAAGGTTGTCAATTATCTTTCCACCAAATTCTGCTGCTGCTGAACCTACAAGGGAACTACAAGGTAAAAAAATGTCAATCCATCGCATCTTTTAATAGTATTAATATCTGATTACTCATTATACATTTCACTCTGTTTCCATTTTCACAGGAAGCCCCCCATCACCGGCCCCACCGCTTCCAGAGAGAACCCCCGAATCATTTGAGTTAGCCGTTGATCCCGGTAATATTCTAACAATGATTATTTAAAGAGAATGCACTCTTAGATTATTTTCTATCTAAAATCACATTTCAAATCAACTAATTTTAACTTCTTAGTTGTTGTAGAGCCTCAGTTAAAGGTGCCCATTACAATGAACCCGGGTGTTATAGGATTATCTTCAGAATGGTCAGGAACTTTGAAGCCAGAAGAGGCCCTTCATCAGGATAAAACATTTGTGAGGAGCAAGGTAAGTACATGTATAATCTCATTGATTAATTAATTGATTGACTTTATCGATCTCACAGTGGAGAAATGTACTTGTTACATCAGCTCAAATAGTCAAAGGAGAAGAAGAAGGTGCATAAGGAAGAAAAATGTGCATGGGATATATACAGTATATACAGTGTGTCCACATTTTTTTTTATTTTTATAGTAGGATCCTCTTACAGGGTTATTATAGATACCCATGTAAACACGGGGTGTATTCATACAGATGGATGTTTATATTTATATATATAGTATTGCACTGGGTGTCAGATATAGAGAAACAAGTTATTGCACAGGGTATCAAATAGTAATTGCACATAATGCATTGCACAAGTTTTTTGCCGTTGTAGTGTTGCATTGTAGAGTCAGGTTGGCGCAGGGATAAATGATATGTGGTAGCGCTCCTTTTTACAAACAGGGTGTAAAAGTCTTTCACTAAAGGAGCTGCTCAGCTCCTCTACAGTCTGGTGCAGAGGGTGGAAGGTGTTGTCCATGATGGATGTAAGCTTGGACAGCAACCTCCTCTCAGCCACTTCCTCCACTGAGTCCAGAGTGCATAAATATTAAAAACAGCAGCGACAACATACATTTAAAAGCGTCCAGAAGCCATATCATGAATCCAATCTTCAATTGTTTATAATCCATTTGTCCATAAGGGTCCACAGATTAAAAGAAATCCAGTATTTTCATAATACAAATATTCTGTGATAAGAAAAGGTCCACATATCTTCTGTTTTTTGACATCAGAAAATTTTGCTGGTCATAGCTAATGCTTAGCAACTTGCAAATAAGACTTACTTCCTTAAACATTTGCCTGTGATGTTTGGTATGTTTGTTTTCATCACTTTTCTGCCTACAAAACAAAAGTGTCCACATCTGTGTATGATAAGATTTGACTCAGGGACATTCCTAGAAGTATCACGAGCGCTCCTTGCCTGTCACCCAATGACAAAAAGAGTAGCTCTATTATGCCTTCTTCTTGTATTGGTAAAGACCACATTCCCTGTTTGGCTTTGTAGCCAATGAAATAGGGTTTCAAACAATGGTAAGCATGGCTAATTTGGATAGTGCATCCAGGATATACACACAGAGTGACTGGATTATTGCACGTCGTTAAATAAGAAGATGGAAACTTAGAAAAATGTGGGGAAAAATTGCTTCAAAAATGCTTTGTGGTCAACAAAATGCTTCAGTGTGATTTTTGGGGTATAATTGTTGTGTAAAAGCAAGTCCAATTTGGAACTCCACACTGCAAAAATGATCTCAAAATGAGTAAAAATTTCTTAAATTAAGAGTATTTACCCTTAATTACAGCAGATAAATAAGAGGATTTGCCAATGGAATTAGTATTTAAAATAAGACAATGCAGTTGTTTTTTTTCTTATTTTAAGTGTAAATTGTCTTGTTCCATTGGCAAAGTGTCTCACTTAAATCCTCAAGAAAAAAATGCACTTATTTTAAGAAAAAATGACTTATTTAGATTAAATTGTTTTGCAGTGCAGAAGTAAAGTTCCTATCTCTGGAAATATTAAACCTAGAGGTCTGAAATTATCTGCAGTGGCGGTTTACATGATGCACAATAAATGTAATACAATGACACATGCCTATTGTCAAAGCATGTCTTTGTTACTCCTTTTCAAAAAAGACCTAATTTTTTTTGCAGAGAAAAGAACTTTGTGTGTTTGAACTAAAGCTGTGTTTTAGTCACACATGTAACACAGTTCTTTAGTTATTTGCTTTTCCATTTCAGTAAGCAAAAAGGCGTTAATGACCTAAAATTAGGTGGATATTTAGAGGCTATACCAGGCCAGCTGTGGATAGATTGTGGAAGTGAAACGATGTCCACATGAACGCATCGACTGATGTCTTCATGAGATTGAGAGGTGATTAAGGGTGATAACACAGGTAATCAAAAACCTGACTTTCAGCAGCATTAGATGAATATTCCACTGGAAATCATAGTCTTAAAAAAATAATGTCAAGGACTTACTGAGCCGGACGAGCTATTAAAAGGGCCCAATGATGGCTCAGGAGGTAGGAGTTCATCCTGTAACAAGAGTGTTGTTGATTTGGGCTCCTGCTCCGTTCATGTCTTCATTGGCTTTGGCTGTTGGTGGTCCGATTATTATTGGACGGCGAATGTCTGTCCATCCATTTCTCTTTCCTGCTCGGTTCTCCTAGACCAGTGGTCTCCAACCCTGGTCCTCAAGATCTACTGTCCTACAGATTTTAGATGCATCCCTGCTTCAACACAGCTGAATCAAATGATTGATTACCTTTTCAAGCCATTCATTTGATTCAGCTGTGTTGAAGCAGGGATGCATCTAAAATCTGTAGGACAGTAGATCTTGAGGACCAGGGTTGGAGACCACTGTCCTAGACCATGCAACTCTCAGTCTGCCTGGGGGTCTCCTCCCAGGGGAGAAGGTTACAGATTTAGACAAATCTTCAATGTTCACACCACCAGATTATTTAAAATGCAGCAGCCAAACATCTTCACCTCAGATTTACACTCCCTATTTGCTCCCGGTTCATTTCAAAATTTGTTTCCCTTCAATCACCCCAAAATCTTAAAAGCTAAAATAAGAGTTTTTTCATTATACCTTATAAATCTAATTATCTTCAACGTTTTAATAGTCATCTTTTTTTTTTATAATTCAGTACTGTTGTAAAAGGAGTCCAGATGATGTCTCTATAATCTCATCTCTGCAGTAGAATAATTATATATGGCCACTACAATGTGTGATATCAACAAAAGGTTCCTATAGGTAAAGGTTCCTATAAGTAAGAGAAAGTTAGAGGGACTTTGATGATCCCATTAAGGAACATACTGATAGGTTTGGGACAGCCATGTTTGCATTCTAAATACTGAGGAGAATCAGTTTAATTCATATTTGACATTGAGGTATTCAGTGCTTCTTATCCACTGACCATAAACTACTTGCAGGGCTCAGACGTCGAAAACCTTTATGCTGTATGTTTGAATGTTTCTAAAACAAGGTAGATTTTCTCACAGAAAACCGTTCTTTTTTCTTGCAGAGTCTAAGAGCAAATATGAATTTCTCAGGTAAGAGACATCAAACAATAAGCTGACTAATATAGAATTAATGTTAGGATTTGAAAAATGTAGCAGCTGGTTTTCACATATGCAACTTTTCATGCTGCCAGAAGAAGAGTAATAATTTGATAATGTTTATATTTTCTCATTAACACTCCAGCTTCAATTACTCAACTTGATCCAACAAATGTGCACAACTACTGTCCACCTGTGGCTCCTTTGACTCCTTCACATCTTTCTAACAGTGAGTTGTGTAAATACCTGAGAGACAAATTCATTTGTTTGTTTTTAAGCAATAGAAATGAAAACCTATGTCTTAATCCACAGTAGTGATATACAATGTAAAAAGATAAAATAATCATAATTTATAAGGTACTGATTAAAAAAAACAAAAAAAAACGTTACACTGAATCAGTAAAATATTATAATATATAAATAAATATAAAATATTTTTGTCATCTAAAACAAGTAATTATGAAACAGATACACAATAAAGTGTACAGATAAATAAATAAATAAATAAACTATAAAATGTTATTTAAAGTCAGAAATCAAGTAAAAATGGCGAGACGAGAACTAAAAATGCTTTTATTTGGCTTAACAGCTGAGGAAAGTCTGGCGTCACCTTTAGCGAAAAGGGCTCCTGAATCCTTCCCTTTCCCTGCAGAGGAGGGTGAGCATCATTCCCCTTTCAACACAGAGAAGCAGCTTGTAGAGAAGTAATTGTTTTTTTCTGAGGGTTACTCTGTCTGATCCTTTAGCTCATGAGAGAAATATGCTACGCCCCCATTCCATGGGTTCAACACAGCGCCTATCGAGAGTAGGAATGTCCTCAGAGTGGGATGGAAGCTCCCAACCAAAGAAGTTCCTGGATGTTGTCATGAACCGCAGCAAGGTACAGAAATTATTCCAGGGAGCTTAACAGACAGTCACAGGTTGGATTTCAGCAGAACCAATTTGGGAGGATTTTTATTAAATTATAAAGATAGTCTTACTATTTGTAATCTTTTCTTTCAGAGTGTTCGAGCTAAAAGTTCAAAATCAGGTGAGTTATTTCCTTCATCCCCCGGGGAATTTTAAATAACTGAGTAATGTACTATTTGTAACCTTTACGTTATACTTTATTGCAGCTACTTCTTGTATTTTTTGGTCACTTTGGGTCAATGGTATCACATTTGGTATCTGACCACATCTGTGGTCACATATTCTCTCATTGGTTCGTCTTTGAAGTTAAAGAAATTATTTAACTGAACTTTATGCTTACAAAAAACACCTACAGTCACCTCATGGTCTGTCTGTTAACTCCCTGCTTGGTGGGTGAGCTAAAAATCCTCCTCCCTATCTGGGTTTCCTTTGATTACGTGTTTCCTCCTTCCCCCTTTCGTTTTAGAGTTCTTAAAAATGTGGTTTAAATGACAAATCAGCTATCTATGTGTTGTGACCTTTTTGGATTTGTCTTAATGTTCTGTGCACAGGTAGATATATTAACAGTGATTCAGAAACTACAAATATATTCCAACAACAAGCGCCTAGGATAAAGTTCATGCTGGTTTAATTTACAGTAAACCATCCGTTTATCAGATGTCGTCATCAGTAAAGAAGCGGTGTCTTGTGCGCACATTCAAATTCATAAGGGGAAAAGGCGTCACTATCATAAGAGGGAGAGATTTCTTAACAAAGGAATTAATGCTTGACTAGTTAGATATTTTCAGTGCTGATTATTATTATTAAAAGTGGAAGTAAATGTGTTTCGACGGGTGATTTTTAAAAAAATCATTGTGTTTGTACTGCAGAGCCCCTCACTGCATTTCCGCAGCTCACTCCTCTTCCTGTGGTCGCAGCTGAAGGAGGAAGTGGTGAGTTAGTTTGATGCACACTACACAGTAGCCTTTCTCACACAGTCTGCTATTAATAACTCTATAAGTCCCTGTTGTCAAAACGACAGATCCTTTCAACAAAGCAGTGCAGCCACGATAAGCTGCACATCTAAAGAAGCCAGGTTTCCTTCTAAGAGCTCAGATAGTGTTTCTGCACAGATACGTGGGGAGGAGTAAAGTGTAAAGTAAGCGTCTACACTGGGACAGAAATAAGTTTGATCTCTTTTCTGTTTCTGTGTTCATCAGAGCAAGTGCAACAACAGAATATGAACCACAAGTCCCCCCCAAACACCGACAGATCAGGAAACAAAGCAGACAAAAGCAGCGAAAAGGGCATGTTGAGAACAAAGGTAACACAAAAGAAGAAAAGTTAGAAGAAATGATCAATTCCTAAAAAATAAGTAATTTAGTGTTTTTTCTTTTGTTTATTTTTTTATTCAGAGCCTTAAACTTTTTAGGCATAAACCGAGACGTAAGTAAAAATGTCTTGTACTTCATGGTATTGATAAAACTGCCAGTTTCTCTAATAAAATAACAAATAAATGTGTAAAAACATTTTTTTTTAGCCCAAACAGCCCCTCCACCTCCTCCTACTCAGGCTGGAGCTGCACCTCCCTCACATGGGGGACTATCTGTGTTCAAATTTGGTAAGACACCAGTTTACACCCAATCCTATTCATTGTAAAAAATAAAGTCAAACATAATTGTGTGACATAAAAAGAAAACAATACATGCTTTGGTTTCATTACTTCGGTATAGCTTCCTTCAATCTGATACTTTTGTAGTCACCATTTAGGAACAGTCCACATTTTAATTTAAGGAGAATAAGATAAAGCTGTGAGGAACCTTTAACTGGAGTCGGTACCCCAAGCTTTGGACATCTCGGGGTATTGGAAAAATGTGCTCTAGTCAGATAAGACCCAAAACTAAAGACTTTAAACCCCAAGCAGAAAGCTATGTGAGAGCGTAAACAAATACTTTTGCCTCACCCTCATGCAGGGTTTCTCAACCCTGGTCCTTAAGGTCCAGTGTCTCCGCTTCCACAGCGGAATCAAATGGCTGAATTACCTTTTTGTTATGCAGGCAAGCTCTCCAGAGGCAGGTGGGAGGAAGCAAAGATGGAGGTAAAGGATGCAGGACAGCGATGATAATATTGATAGCTGCAAAACAATCTATCAAATAGAAATGAGGGAAGAGCAATGGATAACAACAATAGAAGACAAATTCCTAATGGAAAAACGAACACACACTGAGGCTACAAGAACCACAATTGGAAAAGAAATGAAAAAATGGAAACTGTACAAGCAAAGCAATTAACAATGATGTATACCTAGTCAAGTTAATGTTGTAAAGTTTCTCTTTCAAAAGTTCAATGAAATATAGGTAACAAAAAGAAGAGAAACAAGATGCGGTACACCAGACCTTAAGAACTGGAATTGAGTAACCATGATGTAACATGGAAGTGGCGGAATCATCCTGTGGGGTTTATTTCTTCGAAGCGCATTGCTTAGAATAGTACAGACCAGAGGAGACCATTTGAGAATTTGTGGAAAGACTTGAAAATGTCAAACAGTTCAGTGGTTTCAATACTTTTGCACAGTGAGAAAAAACCCATAATTCCTTGTTATTTTCATAAGATTCCAATTAGAGATGCAGCAATCCAGTTTTTATCCAGTCCAATCTAGTACCGATACCTAAGCTGAGCATATCTGCCGATATCTGATAACGATCCGATTCAAATGTTGAATGAATGAACCATCTCGCCATGTGAGTGAAGGCTTTAGCGTTGACATAAACATTGTTAAAGAAAGGTAACAAATAAACACATTTATGAATGTAATTTATATTATTAACAAATAAGCTGCAACTCGAAATAAATACAGGGTTTATACAGGAATGAATAACTTAAATGGAATGCTTTTTAATGCTCTTTTAATGCTCTTAGAAATCATTTTAATGCCACCAACAGGTACCTGTCGACAGGCTGCAGCCATGTCACAAATTCCTCGTTTTCCAGCCACTTTTGTTGAAATGTGCTTTTTTCCCCCCCATTCTCTAGCTTTTTCTGCGACTCAAGCTTCATTTCTGAACATACAGCTTTGCGATCAACCGGAAGCAGTTCCACGCAAATATATCATGATATTTGTCTGACGAAGTTGTTTTTTTTTTTTTTTTAATAAAGCATTTTATATGCCCTAATAAACACATCTAATACATTTTAATGCCAATTAAGGCCTTAATTTAAAAAAATTTATGACTTTCAATTATTTTTAATGACCCACGGAAACCCTGAAATAAAAGTTCCATGTGAAGTGCATATATAACGTTATCCTATCCAGCTAATTAGTCCATATTGAAGCCATTATCCGATCCAGGTATCAGATCAGTGCATTTCTAATCCCTATACAACTTTATGTGTCACAAATGTATTTGTCCACTGGAGGTTTGCTCATCAGTGTGCAGCACCTTAGCAGCAAAACAAATCCCTTGCATCTGTAAAACACTGCTTGGCAATAAATTTTTTTTCCTGATTCCTACATGTCGATTCTTGCAGGATTTGGGAACCGCTTCAGAAAGCCGAAAGGTCCCCGGAGTTATCCAGAGACCTGGATCTGAAGAGAGACAGGATCACAATGATACTCTGCAGAACTCGTTGACTTTGGGACAGAAGCAGGTTTATTACAAAGTTGTCAAGAAAACATCCGTCACAGCAGAACAGCTAAGAAATGCCTAAACAGGAGGATCTGTGCAGCAGCAGGACACACACAGGAAGAGCTCAGTCTTTGTGTAATTTATGAAGTAAAGCAAATTTGAACTATTGGAATGAAAAACTGCTTTGAGAAATGTGTTTGCAGTATGGATTACAGACAAAAAAATTTTTTTTTTTGTGCTCAAGGCAACGCTGTTAAACTGTGTTAGGACTTCATTTAATGTGTGATCACCCATACGCTTTCAGTGTGAAACAAACAAAAAAAAAAAAAAACGGGTGCAACAATGAACCTTTGAGAGGATGACACGTTCCTTCAAATGGAGCGGACTTCTTGTTTCATGCTTCTGCGTATCGACGCGATGCAACTGCACAACTATTTATTAAATAATATGACTTAGCGTTCCACTTGTGTGTTTCTCCTGTTTTAACCGGATCATGACAAACGTCCTTATCATCTACGCTCTGTCACTGCTCAAGTTAGAAAAAAAAAAAAAAACATAAAAAAAGCTTCAAGAAAGAAGAGCTACAGCATTAATAACCCAAGTTAAGACTATGAGAGAGCCATATTTACATAAGAAAGGCAATCCTGTCAAACATATCTGTGTTATTTGCTACCTGGTGGCATGAAATATGGTTATTTCTCATTTCACTTAACAAATAAAAACAGAAGCATTAAGTTTGGTTAATCATGCACTGCAAAAGGCACTAAAATATAGTCAGAGGAAAAGAAGCAGGAAATCACTTCTTTCCCTCTAAACATCATTTTAAAGACCAAAAACAGAAGGAATATAATCCAAAGGAGAATTAATCCTATGAATTTTTCCTAAAACCATTATTACCCTCCAAACTTTTTGATATCACCTGCTAAACTGAAGGTTACTAAAAAAAATGTAATTAAACAAAACCATCACAACATTCTCATAATTGTAGCTAGAACTACAACACACCAGCTTTATTCTAAACGCGACGTAATAACAAACCATTATTGCTAACTAGGTGTGATTTCTGCAGTTGATTTAGGATTAAAATGGTGCAGAAATTAGATTATACCACATTAATTTGGAGAAAATAAATATCAAAAATGGTAACAAAAAAGTTCACATACAAAATACACTTCAAATTAAGAACTTAACCTCACAACTGGGAAAACAAGATTTAAGTGCTTTAAGTTGAACAATCGTGTTTCTTTTATAAGGGGAAAAACTGCATAAAATCCCTTTATTGTGGAGTAGGATGACATCCAGGATGTTAGCAAAATGTTGCACATCCGCTGACCACCCACAAATCATCATCAGTCTGTTTTTAATCACAAATTGTGGAACTTGCCTTTAAGTTTTGCTTCTTCCTGTTTTCTTATTACGGTTCCAAGAATTTTTTTTCACAGTAAGTTTTAGATATACATTTTGTTAACTAAAAAAAAAAAGCAAAAAAAAATGACGTAAACTTCCCTCAGTCTCTTAAGCAACAAGTCTATATGGGCAATTTGGGGGTGTGTGCACTTTTTTGCAGCTTGCCGCCTTGAATCACTGATAGCTTAGTTTATACCAAAACTAACATGAAAAGACCCTTAGAATGTTTAAATGATTGATGATTGAACAAGAATAACAGCAGGGATGACAGAGCTTGCCAGCTCTCGAGCAATTCTCTGGTTTGGTGCCAATATATTCTCCCACAGTAAAGGGTTACAAGTGTCACACCACTGAAAAAGTGTGCATGGGGCAAAAAAAGTGCTTTAAACATCTCAAAAGATAAGTATGATCTCTTAAGATGCAGATCCTTCTGGCAAAGTGAAGTTTTTCACCTTAATATGATATAAAAGGTGCCTAACTAAGTATAAATGGCACCATTTCTATATGTACCAAGGCCACTGAACACAGCTGCCAATTTTTCCAAATTCATGAAATGCAAATAAATAGAATCCCTGGGGTTAAATAGACTCAAAAAGGTTCAGACTTTAAATAAAAATGATAGCTTGGCAGGATCATGCTGTTGAAAAAATCCGGTTGATGAACAACTTCACCTTGAACCAAAAAAAACATCTGATACAGAAAGTAGCATTTCAAAACCTGGTTTAAAAATAATAAGATTCTTTTTTACATCTGATAACTAAATATATATTATTCTGTCCCATTAAACAAAAACATTACAGGAGGTTAAAAAAAAAAAAAAAAAAACAAGACAAAACACAACAATAATCTGAGATTTAAAAAAAAGAATAATTTAAGTTTGAAAAGCTTCCTGATTACATCAGTTGTCTAACTTATTTAGTCTTTAACCCCTTTAAAGGCATCATTTGGGGATGTCTGAGGTGTGGCCATTAGCTTTTTGCAGCAAGGCCTCCTTCATAGGGTGGACTGAGGTGGAGTAAAGGGGTGGAAGGTGAGCAGATTTGGTTGGCTGAGGAGGGGCTGGCTGAGGCTCCTTTGACGGCGTCGCCGGTCTCTGGAACTCCGGTTCCTCGGTTTTGGCGACCCCGCCCAGGATGCTGTCCGCCTGCCGCCGTGAGCAGGGTGTAAGGGTGGAATCTGGTCTTGCCGGGGAGGAAAAGGAGACTCGGCCAGAGGTGGGGCTGAGATCTTTGGGCTGCTGCTCCTCCTTGGCGTCCGTGTCTTCTGCTGAGTGGTACTGTTTAAGGCGGATGTGCCAGGCCAGGCTGCAGACTGCAGACACAGTCTTGAACTGGTGGATGACGTTCCTGGGGATGAAGTAGATGTCATCGTCGCAGAGCTGTGCCCGGATATAGCGGACACCTTCCCTCCTCAGCTGATTCAGTTTGGCATCATCCACCCACTGCACACACTGGACCAGGACACACATGTTAATATAAAATATAAAAACATGAATTCTTTATTGTTGAACTGAAATCTGAACATCTTACCTGAGAAACTGGGGGCTCATAGAGATCCAGCTGCAGCCTCTGGACTACCTCATTAAAGTCCCCAGCATCAAAACACACCACATCCTTGGTGATCCGCGGATGGTTGTCCCTGAAAGAGAGTTCATAAAAACTTAATACAACTTCTTCATAGAGTTTGAAAACTCTGCTATTTATCAAAGGATCTGCAGGATCTAATAATGCTAGAGGAAGCGCACCCCTCTCCAAAGTGCACGGCCTTCAGGACGCCCACAGCAGCTGTGCTCTGCCAGTCGAAACTCTGCCCCACATGATCAGCATGTGCCTTCGTCCGATCCTCGAACAGAACCTCTCTGGGTTCGCTGGCCCGTGGCAAGTAGTGCAGGTTCTTTATTTCATTCATCGACCTTAAAAACAGAACGAGCCCGTTAGAGGATGTCCTCCTCCTCCTTTTTGAAAAGTAGAACATATTTCCACAGTAAATCTTCACCTGCGGCGTTTAAATGGAGACTTGGGCATATCAGCCGTGGGTACCATTTGCTCTCCCGGTCGCACCCACATGATTGGTCCATCATCGCTCTGGGAGCGACAGTCGAGCTTCAGACTGGAGAGGGTCCCCCAGGGCAGGGTCATCTACAATTACAGATTCATTGATTAAATCATCATCTCTGGAGCTAAGAGAAAGCAATCTAAGCCAAAATGCTGATCAAAATAAATTTCAAGTTCCTGCAAAACAGCAGTTAGTGATGCAAACAGGACTTTTACATGATATATTAAGAGTTTCAGCCGATGCAGATCATTAACTAGAACATTTCCTAATCTCTCTGCAATTCATTAGGCTGTTTTCTTTGTTTTTAAATACAGCATGTCTCCCTCTAGTGGCAGATAGAGATGCTGCAGGCATATTTTCTGTTTTTATCTTTCTATATTGAAACTCATCTTTTTTGGAAGATCTCTGGGAAATTTTGGATTTTCATTAAATAAACATTACAAATAGGCAGAAAGTGGTTTTAATCAGTATTAAATACCCAAAGGTCTTTTTTTTAAAATCAGTCTGTAGGAAAAAACAAATCCTGCCTTATAAAACCACGAGTGATCTTAAACCGAGAAATTTGTCCTTTATAAATTAAAGCTCTACCTCAGCATTTGAGTCTAAGGCTCAACCTTATGTTGGGCCCTCTTTACCCTCACAGTCGAGCATAAATGGTCCATGCAAAGACTCTTTATTGAGAGACAGCATATATCTCACTTTGGATCCAATAAACTCAAATTTAAGTTTCATATGAAGTGACTTTAAATGTCTGACAGAAATCACGATACAATCCGGCTTCAGTTCCGCTTAGTCATCAAAATGTCTCCAAAATGAGTGTACGTGTGCTGATGGGTCAGGGTTAGTGGGAGGGGGGTGCACATTTTCATAGCCTTATCATTCATAACCTTTGCATGGTAGTCAGGCAAGTTTCAGGAACTGTTTTACCTCGTTAGCGTTAGAAATGCAGAACCAACATTTACAGAAGACTGTTTCATCGATACAGTCGAGAGCGTCGCTAGATTTCATGGCACTGTTTTTAACCTTGGTTGCAGCATTGCATGTGACCCTATCCATCCATCCATCTATGCTCTTCAGATTATCAATGAGCTGCAAATGACTGGCTGAGGTTGGTTAAAGAGTTTCAATAGTTTCAAACAAACTTTAACATTAATAAACTTTTTTTTTATATCATCTGAGATAATTTAGTTTATGACATTTTACTTTTTTTCATGATGAAACTGAGCTAAGCTTAAATACAGATGACATTTTTTTATCAACCTTAATAAAAAAACAAAAACAAAGTATGCGCCTACTATTGTTTTCAAAATACAAAGCTACGGTTATGCATTGACTGATGCTTTTATAAGGTGATGGAAATAAATCAGACCTTGAGAAATGGAGACTCCTCCAGCATGTCGAGGAACTCTGGGAAATAATCTCCGACTTCTTCATCCACGGCTCCGACCAGGCTGATCTGCCTCATGGGTCCAGCTCGGTACGTTCCTGAACAGTAAGTCCGGCTCACCTGGATAAAAAATAAATAAAAAGAAGCTTTTAAGTCGCTACAAGCTACTTTATTAGACGCTAAAAGTGTGTTTTCTATATTTCAGTGAAAAAATTAGTTGATTTTGGACTCTACTGTATAAAGTTTGAGCCTTCATATTTAGTCCCATTGTTTTGAATTTTTTCTGGTTTAACAAACCAACACAGCAAACTTTTACATCGTTAAAAAGGTAGTCATCAATCATAAGTTTTAATTCCTTATTTTTTTTTTTAAATCTTAGACTGAATCCATAAT